ATAAAATCTCTTTCCGACTCGACTAATGTCGTTAGGATAATTAATGAAGCATTATATAATTTGTCTAAATTATTTGTACGTATTTTTGTTGCATCAAAAATACCCATTTTTTTGTAATGTTTTTATCGTCATATAATACATCTTCTGGACTCTCAATTCAATTAACATTTGCAATGACAGCATCTACGTTTTGATAAAGGGTCAATTCAGATGCAGTCGATAAATTTGGTTCAATCATAAAGGTTCATCATTACTGCATAATAATTCTTCAAAATCAGCGGGAGTATCACCACCTTCAATGTCCTCAATAAATAGCTTCGAAAATAATTTTTAAGCCGCGATTTGAAGGATTGATTTGTGTTTATAACTTGATAGATTATTTAAATATTTTAGTATGCCAACTAAATTTTTACTCCGTCTTTTGACAATTCTCTGTTGCCCATATTGCAGGATTTTTAAGCAAAAAGCAATCTTTATTTTTTGCACAAAATGTCTAATATAAACACTAATATACCCTCTGCATCAAGTAGGGATGCATGGCGTTAGCCAAGTCTTTCAATTCCAAGTTTTAGTGGTTGCAAAGCTGTTACTACAGTTTGAACCACTAAATATTCCTTCTTCAAAATATTGTTATTACTGTTGTGGTTAAAATCTATTCATGCTTTTAATATGCATGTTTTTAATGCAATAAATTGCTCCAACATTTTAAGAAAACTATTCCACCTGTCTTTACATCCAGTATTAACTTTAAGTTTTTTATTGTATTTAGTTGGACGTATTTTTTTTAAATTTCATTTTTGAGTAGATTTATCAAAAATTCTTACAATTCTCAGAATCTTTGGAATTGTTTATGTAATACTAATATTGTCTAACTATTCATTAGTGAATGTCTCTTAACTTAAATAGATCTTTGTTTTGGTTTGACTGTAAATTCACTGAAGTTATAAAATTGATTTCTTCAGTCTCGTCATATTCATTTTCATCAGAACTGTGGCTGTCAGATGCAATACACTCACTTTCCAATGAATTTGAAATCATTTGTTTGTTTTTTTAAATATTACAAACTACTAAATGTAGTCCATGTGCATAACAAAGTTGGTGCTCCGTACCGCTAAATCTTCCAAATTTTTTCCGAAATTTTTTCCGAAATTTCGAGAGGGAAAAAGAAGTAAGTAGTAATCAAACTTTAAGTGATTATATTTTTAATATCTTTAAAAAACGGTAAAAAAAAGTTAAAATAAGTTGCCAAAATTTCCGGGAACATTAAAAATCTGGGATAACGGGAATTTTTCACCATTTATTTAATTTTATTATTTATTTGTCATAAAAAAAAAATGAATACAATGCCGTGTTATGTAAATAAAATCTACATGACCAGGGCTAAAAAAAGACAATATTTGCCTTATCACTACACCCCGAGCCAACCAGACCCGAAAATCCAATGCGTTTTTAATATTATTATTTATACCATTCGAATACCTTTAGGATACCATTGGGATCCCAGGATCCTATTTGAAAAGCTTAAGTTGTAATTTTTATACTAAACCTCGATAAAAAATGGCATCCTATTATTTAAAAGACAAAAATCATATACAAAGCACTAGATTCTCAAAAAATAACTTCAATCAAAACTTCTCAAATTAATAAATTATTTATTATCTTAAAACACTTTCTTCAGTGAATCAATTTAAAACAAAACTTGGCAGTATATTTTACTAAACGACAACAACTGAGACGTTTGAATAAGAATACTCTTTTGATAGATTTTTAGCATTATGAATATAATTATGAGATTTATTTATAAAAAAGTTATAAAACATTACTAATTATTAACAACCCCCTGTTTGATATGTCTATAAGGTAAAAGTCAAACAAACAAAAAAAATAGTTCAAAATCAAGCAACATTTTTTTTAGCAATACAATATCTAAACTTGGTAAAAATAAATATAAACTTGGTACCTTTAATTTAAGTATAAACTAAAATCTTTTAGCTAAAACCATATAAAACGTATTAAACATAAAAAAGATTTAAACAATTTAAAGACTATTTAAAGTTTACTAATTAAAGCTAGTTTTACCCCCTAGATGATTTTGCTTTATAAACAATTTTATTTCAGAATTTCAATACATACTCGATAATTTATTCAAACTTATAAAATTTTGATTTAGCAAAAGGGTTTGTTTAATAAATTTTCACTTTTCAATCTGTATTTATTTAAATTTGAAGGAAGATAATTTGAAAAAAATAATTGGCCATTTTTACAAATAAAAAATAAAGCCTAATTTTTATAAATATTTAGTTTGTGATTATGTATATCTGATTTGCTTTTATCTCTTTAAATTAAAACGATTTTGGTTTAGGGGAGAGTTGCTAAAATTGGAACAATTAAGAAATTTTTTTAATCAAAAATGGCTTAACTAAGATTTAAAAAATATTCATGATTCAAGCAACCGTAGCGCAGTGGTAGCGCACTTGCCTCGCAAAAAAAGGATCTGTGGTTCAAACCCCACCTCTGGGCAGGTCTTGCGACATCGGTTAAGAAAGAGGCATGAACTTCCAATTAAATGCTTATCCGCGGTGCTCTGTGATAAGAGAGCACCGCACCCCAATAAGTCCTTACGGACTTCTTGGGGCACCTAAATAAAGTTAAAAAAAAAAAAAAAAAAAATTAATACAAACAGACAACAATGCTATACTTTTAACCATATTTTGAATTAATTGATTGCATTGTTGTTAAAAATTAATTCTTTTGTATTAAGGCATCATCTTGATCCGAAACGGCAACCGGTTTTCTTAATTGGAACTTTGATTCCTTAATCGGAACAGTTCGTTTCTTTTTAAAAAAATCCCAGAAAAATCAACAAAAATATTTTTGTTGATAATTTTGTTGATCAATTAAAAATTATTTTTTATCTTTACAGTGACAGGCTAAACAATTCATTAAAATTTATTCGACCCCTATGCATAAAGACTTAATATTTAACTATTTATAAAGACAATATTTAAGAACGGTTTCGCCAATATTTAAGAATTGGTTAAATCACGTGCTTATATGAGACCTCCATGATAAATTTTGATTTTAAAAACAACATTGAAGTTTACTGATATTTTCTAGTATTAACTGCTTCATTTATTTTTAGATCAGGTAATTTAAGTGGATACTCTCTTTCATTTGGTTTATGAAATATAGCAAATTAGTTTTTTCTATGTTAAGCGAGAGTCAGAAACAAATGAAGCATTTGTTTAATCTGTCTAACTCTTTATTGACTAAATTATAGAGAATTTTAATATCCCTTTGAGAATAAAGCAGATTGGAGTCACCCAAACACAAATAAAATTTAATAAAATTTAAATTGATGAGAAAAAAATTTTTTTTTTGATATCCTGAAGATATAAAAATAAGTTTTAAATTTTTATTGTTATCTACCATTTTTATTTAAATTAAAAAATTCTATTTCATTTGATTCTTTCTAAAAATTTGAAAGAATACAGATAATGCGATAACTATATGCATTTGCTTTGATTCGCCGTCTTTGTAAATTGGCGTAAATTAAAAAAGTTTTTTATTGGTCAGGGGAAAAATATTTTGTTCTTTCAATATCCTGAAGACAAATAAAAGTATGTTTTTATAGTAATTTACAACTATGTTTTTTTTTTAAAAAAAATAAAAAAATTTAAAAACTTTGGTCCAGGGAAACCATGGGCGATTCAAGACCGTTTTGTACGAAGAGGGGAAGGGTAATTTTAATTAGGTGGATCCAGAAGATCTAATAAAAAGGCGGTCATAATTTATTTTTTGTTATTATTATTTTTTTGAATACCAATCATATACTGTCTTAGTTTATGTAGCTGTGATATGATATAATATATTGATATCCCAATAGTACGATAAATTGCGTCTTTTTAGTAAAATTTCATATCATTATTAGTTTTTAATAATGATATGATATGATACAATTTTAGTAAAAGTTCATATCATTATTAGCCCAGAGGGAAATCGCCAGGTTTGATTTTTTCAACATCCAATTTTATTTTATATATACTGAGTTACATATATGATAACTTTTAATGAAAAATATTCCTACTACATTTATTTTCCCAACATACACATTCCCACTGTACGGTGATCTGTTAAATTATAATTAGAAGTTCTTAGAGTTAGGAAAAGATTCAGTAATTGATTTTTATTTCCATAGGTACAAGGTTATGTATTAACTTTAGGTACAGTATAATTACACCACAATTAATACTTACACAATCTACCAGCGAAACGATTGTCAGACACTTTTTCCCTAAAAAAAATAAAAGGTTAATCAAAATTTGGAAAAATATTTTTATTAAGCCATCAAAATAAACTTTTTAAATAAATCTTTTACTGGCAACATAATACGTTCCAATTTAGTTGATGAATCATTAAAGTTAGTAACAGTTGTTCGTCAGTAGTTCAGAGTTGGTCACAATAAATAGAGTCAATAAAAACAAGTAAGTAGGTCACAAATAGAGATAAGTAAATAGGTCATAGTCAGGGCCGTCACAAAGAGATTTTATGAGGTGGGCGGGGTAACGTATCTATTTTTTGCCGATATAGTTCCAATTTTGCCGACTAATAAAATTTGTCGGGGGGCTAGACACCCCCTACGACCCCTCGAGATAGCCCTGGTCAAGCTGTCCATTGTCATAAGATGCCTCTGTGAATATTAATAAAGCTTCTGAGTTAGACTTTATTTTTACCTTTCCCCCTCTTCCTCTCTTTTACGCTCCTTATTATATATGTCCACATTGTCGCTTGATTACATTAGGAAATCGGATGAAAAGGCTAACTGTTTCAGAAGCTAGAAAAATATCTCCTCAGGAGGGATATAGGAATGTTTAAAACACGAATGTGGCAATTTTATACAAACACCGTTTTACATTTATATATTTAGTTATGTTATTGTTACAAAAATATAAATCGTTTATGACTTATAAAAAAATTTACGGTATTTTTATTTAAATGTTTTTATTTTCTGTAATATTAAAAAATTTTGCGAAAATCCATGCTTAACTACAAAATTCAATATAGTTTAATCTATAACAATAAATAAAAATTTAAACGATGGTGATGGCATTTAGGAAATTTGTTTCATAACTAGTTGATTTTCGATGGTTACCTAAAATGTATCCCCACCAGTAAATGTTTTTACTATGGACAATAGATTGGTTACAAAGGTTTGATTTCAGTTGTCATTTATGCTTTCTTTCAATTTTTTATTATATAATTTACATTTGTTGATTATTATAAATTTTTTTTAATCAAATATTTACAGCGAAAATTAAAAATATTAAAATTAAACTAAAATGAGCATCGTGACTATTTAAATCCATGATATTTTTATTCTCACAAATATTAAATCTCTTTTCTGATTTTGCAAGCCTTTTGAATTTAAAATTCAATTTTGTTTTCTAATTTAAAAATAAAATTTCTATAGAAGATTTATTTAAAATAATTTTTTATCAGTTTCTAACATTAAAGTTTATAAGGATGTACATAAAGTGAACAAAATTGTTTCAGTAATTTATAATCCATTGTCTATTGGTTAAAAATAACTAAAATAATTTTATTCACTTTATATTTGCTCACTTTTTATATTTACATCTATGACATAGATCTATGTAGAGAAGCTAGGCCTTCAATAAATACACCACCAGACAAATTAGGATATGACATATAGCATATATTTCATGGCCTAATTTGTGTGTATATATATATATATATATATATATTTTATAATATATATATATATATATATATATATATATATATATATATATATATATATATATATATAATAATATATATATATATATATATATATATATATATATATATATATATATATATATATATATATATATATATACATATACATATATATTTATATATACATATATACATACACATATATATGTGTGTATATATATAAATATATATATTTAAATATATATATATGTATATGTAAGGATCTCACTGCTTAAGGATCTTCACTTTCTCACTTAAGGATCTCACTTCTGCTACAGCATGGGGCTCACAGTGGCTGGTGAACTTTAATTCAGATAAAACTAAATTTTTTTCAGCCAATCTTTATCGCAATAATTTAGACCTTCCTATATTTATGAACGGTAATGTACTCGATGAGTCTCCTACCCTTCATCTTCTAGGATTAACTCTTACTTCTGATCTTTCTTGGAAACCTTATATCAAATCCATTACAAAATTAGCATCTGCTAAAGTCGCTTCTCTTTATCGAGCTCATCACTTTCTTACTTTGGATTCTATTCTCTATCTCTATAAATCTCAAATCCGGCCTTGTATGGAATACTGTTGCCATATCTGGGGTAGATCTTCAAATGATGCTCTTTCTCTTTTAGACAAAGTGCAAAAATGCATTGTAAACATAGTTGGACCTACTTTTATTTTAGTTACAATGATAATTAAACTTTTGAGAGAAAAAGTTACACTTTTGCGAGAGCTTTAAATTGCTCCTGTAATCTTTTTAGGGGAATGTCATTTCAACAAAGTTATTAATGCTAGTTAAATTGTTTATTAAATAAAAAAGTTAATATTTTTTTAATGTATACAATATTCCATACAAGGACAAATAAGAGAGTTAAATATGTAACACTTAGATGTGTTACATATTTAACTCTCTTATTCACATCTAAAGATGCGAATAAGAGAGTTAAATATGTAACACTTAGCTGACTTTGAAGGGATCCCAAAGTATATAGATATTATGATTTATTCATGCGCGTTTATATCCAAAGAGTTTTAGTAAATGACGTCATTGTAGAATTTTGTTTCTTTTGAATCAATATTGTTTTTTTTTTGTTTTATTTGTTTTTTAAAATAAGCATTTATTATCAATTGTATAACTTTCCTATAAATTTTTATAAGAAGTGAAACATTATTATATTTTATGTAAAAATATAATAAATATAATAAATATTCAAAAAAGACGATGATCACCTTATTATATATTCTAAATCCTAAATAATCATAAACTTAAAAATTTTATAGATTTTGCACTTAACAAATTTACAGACACCATATATTAGAGATATTTGCTGAATTTTTAAATTTTTAGTTAAAAAATATTTATAGATTTTACACTGAACACATTTACAGACAGCTTTTTATTAATTAAAGCAATAATTAATGCTTTATGGCAATAATTCAAGACAGATGGCGATTAAAATTGTCAATGTGTTGCTGCGCGTATTTGGCAAGTATTTTAAAATAAAACCTGTCTCTTAAAATTACAAATCAAAAAACTACCAAAATTGACAATAAAAAGTTTTTCATTAAACGATTTCAATTTTAAAATTTACTTGATAATGCTACTCATTTTTTTTTTACCAATAATTGTTCAGTTTAAAAAATAAAAATAAAATAAGCAATACATGTTTTACAGAATAAATTTCATTAAATATATTCTCGCATGATTAAATAAGAATTTCAAGAATACTTGTACTCAAGGAAAAGTTTAGCAAATAAATGCTGTTCATTAGACTTTCATAAGGTAAACTTTTCGTTACCAGGCATTTAAACAATGACTGGGACCAAAAATATCATCCATTTAAACCGCACATTTCTTTGAATAAAATTTGGAAATTATAGCATTGACAACTAATTAAAATTCGAATAGTAAATTTCTTAAAAGCATAACAAACTATATATCAATAGAAACCTAAATAAATAAACTTTTTAATTAAATAAGTTTTTAACTCGCATCATTAAACAATAAGAAGTGCAAAGTGCTTGAAACCATTGTTTTATAAATAGTAGTTAAAATATTAAATCCAAAACAAAACTCATGTAAAAAAAGAATGTTTTTGAAACGAAAAAAAGATGTTTTTAGTTACTTAGCTAAATACTTATACACTTCTTGAATTTTACAGTGTTAACGATGCTTTATTTTTGAACTAAATTTATAGAAGTTTTTTTTTAGTCAAGGATTACTCTAAATTTTTAAAATTTGTCAAGTGATAACTTTTATAATAACAAAAATTTGGCTCTTATTTGTTCTTGATTATGTAAAGAACTAATTAAACCTTATAAACAAACAAATTATATGTGTCTAGAGTGAAAATTTATGTAAAAACACAATAAATTAAGAAGCATACTTGACCACAAGCTGCTACCAGCGGCTTGCGGTCAAAATCAAAAGCCGCTGTCTGCGGCTTGTGGTAGTTTTAAATAATACAGAATAATTTTTTTAACAGAATCTTAATAAGGATAATAATCATTTAATAACACAAAAAATAATTTATAGCAATAAACGAGCTTAAAATATCTGGAATATTTTATTTAAATTTTTAATTCCAACTTCCTGAAACTTAGAAAATAAAATAACTAAAGAAATTCTACAGTGATTTATGATGAAAAAATAACTTTCATATAAAATAACTAAATAAATTCTATAGTAATCTACAATGATGATAAAAAAATTCTATAATTTGATTAAAAAAAAAAAAAAAGAATTTTCAGATTTCTTATCGAAATTCTACAATGACATCTTATAATACTTTAATCCTTATGGTTTTTTTTGGAAAATGACAATTTATAAACTTTTTTTTAAAAATAATAATTATTATCTCTTTGTGCATAAAAATCATAAAAAAATGATATCGTTTATTTGAAATCTGCTAAAATAATTTGTTTGCAAAGCAAGAGTTTTGAAATTATGCATACTGTTGAAATAAAAAAAAAATTAGCAAAGTATTGAATAAAATGATCAAATTTAGCGCTAGTATTATTAAGAGTCACAAAGTTAACAATATTTAAATTTTTTTTTTTAAATTTTCAAATACTAAGTATTCTTTTTCTTTGGAAACAGTAAAATTTAAAATACTATCACCTGTCACTTATGGATTATTCAACATGTCATTAAAATAAAAAAAGTGATGTTCTTCCTCTCCTAGGTCTAAAAATGAATTACAAATGTAGTTAGACTTGCTCTATTTGCTGAGCTTGAGCCCATGGTCGTTTCCCATGGTTGTAAAGTTGCACTTTTCTACAAATACTATCATGGTCGCTGCTCAAAGAGTTATCATCTATAGTTTTATCAACTAAAACTCATAACTTGCTTGACTTGTCATTCAGCAAAGTCTCATTTACTTAATTTGTTCCAGCATGCTCTAAAAACTTTTGGTGTAATTTTTTTCCCCTGCACTTCAACCCTTTGTGAATCATAATAATAATTATAAAAAAAAAAACAGTTAACAAAACATGTTGTGGAACATTGATTGTGAAAAATGTATGTGAACCAATTGCAAAAAAATTTCAAAATTATGCATATTATTGAAACTTTAAATAAGCGAGTGCTGAAAAGCGATTAAAACTTAAGAGTCGTTTAAGTAAATTTGTTTGCTAAAAATAATTTTTACATTTTAATAAAATTTTTTTTTTTTATTAAAATTGTCAATTAAAAAAAAATCTTTTTATAAATTGAAATTAACAATTTTATTAAAAAAAAAAAATTTTAAAACTAGTTTTTAAAAATTTGGTGTTAAATTTGTGATATTGCCATATGTTATTGTGATGTGTTAATTTTGTGATATTGTGATGTGTTATTGGAAGGTTAAGTTTGTAATATTGCGATATTTTGATTGGAATTTATATAGTGATTGAACTTATGAGGTGGTATTCAAACTCATTCAAACTAGCTGTTTTTATTTAAAACAAAATATTGAAAACTTGTTTTTCTTTTTATTATTTTATTTTTACAATATATGTAACAGTTATATATATTACAATATTTATAACAGTTATATATAGTTGTCTATATAAATTTGAAAAAAAAAAAAAAAAAGTTTATTTATGCCTAAGACTTATTAGTTATATATATATATATATATATATATATATATATATATATATATATATATATATATATATATATATATATATATATATATATATATATATATATATATATATATATATATATATATATATATATATATATACATTTATACATATATATATATATATATATATATATATATATATATATATATATATATATATATATATATATATATATATATGTATATATATATATGTATATATATATGTATATGTATATATGTATATATATATATATATATATATATATATATATATATACATAAATGTATAAATTTATATATATATATATATATATATATATATATATATATATACATACATAAATGTATATATATATATATATATATATATATATATATATATATATATATATATATATATATATATATATATATATATATATATATATATATATACATACATAAATGTATAAATTTATATATATTAAGCCTTCCCACACTTAAAGTAATTTTTTTAGACAACTTGACCACGTTTTTATATAGTAAGCATTTTAAGAATTCACGGCAAAATAAAGCTATAATAAACTAGACATCAAATCACCAATACTCGAAAAAAAGAACTGAAGGCTATACAAAATAGAAAATCTAAATAAAATATGCTAAAAAAAATTTATTATTAAAAAAATAAAATTGTTGTCAAAAAAATAATATACCTAAATATTTACTGTTTTAGTTTTCTTATTTTTAGAGCGTTTGTTATTTTCTACTACCAAAATTGATACAATTCAAGAAAAAAAAGTAGATAAAAATATAATGAAAATAAAAATATTTTTTGATTTACAATTTTTTCGCAACTTTTTTCAGTCAGTATTTAAAGGAAATACTTTATAAATTGCGTTTGAAACACGGACAGTTTTTAAATTTGTTTTTCAAATGTCTTTGTTAAACTTTACTGTTTTTATCAATACACAGGAAAGCAAGAAAACTAATTGCTATTTATTTGTGAAAAATTATTTTTTTTTTTACAAGTTTTTAATGTAAAAAAATTAAAGGATGCTGCAAAATTTTGTGGGTTAGTGCATTGTTAATTTACTGAACTTTCTTAACAAAATTTTTAGGAGTCAATTTAAAACTTTTGTTCAAGTTTTTAAATACCTTTTTTTAAACAAAGTAATCGTAATGCTCATTATCTCATATTAACATTGGAACTCATTAACATTGGAAATTGGACAATATAAAAGAAACAATTTCATACATGCATCAAATGCAGTAAATACATTTATTATTTTTATTTTTTATTTAAATTTAATCTACAACGGAAAAATCCGTTGTAGATTAAATTTGAAAGTGTTAAAGGGACTACCAAGTCCCGAGACATGTTGTGTTCATATTAAAGAGAATGTTAAAAAAAAACGTCTGAGCAAATTTTTTTTGATTAAAACTCATTAATAAATGTATATCAAGAAAAACAAATCTTGTTGTTTTAGTCGAAGCTCGTCTTCTCCATTTTTTGCGGTATTTTGAGTATGTATAATAAACGCAATTTTCTAGGCGCATTATACAGACTTGATAAACTAGTCAAGCGCCTTTAATTCAAAGGAGTTTTAGTGCATGATGTCATAGATTTTTTTGTTTGTTTGTTTAAAACACCGATTGTTATTTTTTACATACAATTTCCAAATCATGTTCATTTTTATTATATTTTAAAGTTCTAAAATGTGTTTGTAAAAAAATTAAAAACAAAATAGTATTTTATTTGCGCAACTTTTTTTAAATATTCGTCTAGACCACGTGTATTTTGATTTCTTTTGTTATAAGTTTTTTTTTCAAAATATTAGATAAAATAATTTTTAACTTAAATAATAATGCACTTTTATTAATTTACTTTGTAAAATTTTTAAAAAAATTATTATCGCATTTTTTCTCTGATTTTCAAAAATGTATTTTTTGGTATTTAGGTGATCTTATTTCATTATTTATATTTCCATTATTATAACATCCAATATATATTATAGCGGGGACTTTAAAATTAAAAAATTAATATATATTAATTTTTATTTTACAGACATACATGGAAACATAATTAACTTGAATAGTCTTAAAACATCTTGCGGAAGAATAAAAAGAATATTCGCGAACACTAAAAACCTGCCAAATTTGCAAACAAACTAATTCTATTGGTTCAAAAAATACGCTGACTAAGCAAAATAAAGTTCTAGAGTATTCTGTTAAAATGTTTTAGGAATTATATTATATACGATTTGTTGCGTTTTGAGATATCTAGCATAAATTTTTATAAGAATATATTATAAAATGAACTATTACTTTAATATTATGGCTCATTCTCGGAGCCACATCTGTAAATCCGTAAATCTTTTAAACTATTATCATTTGTTTACAAAAATAAATGTTTTATAATATATATTTTTTAAATTGTCAAAATTTTGAAAGTTAATTTTCTTAGTGCTTGGTTTAATTAATTGTTCATTAGATTTGTAAAAAAACTTACGAAAAGCTAATAAAATAAACTTTTAATAAAATAAGTAACTATAGTTAGCTATTTTAGTAGAATTTAATAAAAGAATTTCTAGAATGTTTCCAATGATGTCATGCACTAAAATTCCTATGAATTAAATGCGATTGAATAAATTATCAAGTCTGTATAATGCGCCTGGAAAATCGCGTTTATTTTACATGCTCAAAATACCGCAGAAAATGGAGAAGACAAGCTTCGACTAAAACAACAAGATTTGTTTTTCTTGGTATACATTTATTAATTAGTTTTAATCAAAAAAAATTTGCTCAGACATTTTTTTTTAACATTCTCTTTAATATGAACACAACATGTCTCGGAACTTGGTAGTCCCTTTAATGTTGACAATATCTGGTACATTTCTATCAAAGGTAATAATATCTGGTGGTAGCGCATTCCAATCAACTGCCACACGGTTACATAAAAAAGTTTTGCGAGCTACACTTTTAATAATTCTTGGTGCCCGAATGTGATGGGGAAAACCCTGAAGACCACTGGCTGGTCCAGGTTGTGCAAGTGCAGGAGCAGGAGATGGTGATTCGATCCATTTAACTTTGTTTATGCTGTGATAAATCTTAAAGTATTGTATAAGATCACTTTTGCGCCTTCGATTTTCAAGTGATTGGATACCAATAGCTGAGCAGCGTTCCTCGGCTTTCATGGTTCGCAGATTTGGGACAAATTTTGTGGCTCAATTTTGAACAGCTTCAAGAGCTTTTATATTTTCAATTGAAAAGGGTCCCCATGCTGCTGACCAATACTCCAAATGAGTACTGCATAAGAGCAATAAAGGATGTGGAACATTTCAAGAGTCCAATGTTTGAAAGTGCGCCTAAGAATTCCAAGAACAGTATATGAATTTGAAAAAGCTTTTGCTACTTGATCGTTATAGCCCATATATATATATATATATATATATATATATATATATATATATATATATATATATATATATATATATATATATATATATATATATATATATATATATATATATATATGTTTTTTTTTTTTGTTTGCATAGTTTTATTTTAGGCATTTGTTGAGTTTCAAAATAATATTGTTTAATTTCTAGAAAAATGGGTATGTTAGTAATGGTTATTCCTTTACAAGTGGTGCAGAAAATATAAAGGCATTGAGCAATTCAAAAGTTTCATTGCATTCATTAAGATCTAATGCATCATCAACATCAGAAAAATTAAACAATGGATACCAGTCATCTAATAATCTTGCCGATGTAGTTATTTATTAACAACTTTTTTTATAAACTCAAAAATAAACTGCTCTTTATTTTCATAACTTGCTATTTATAACTTTTATAACTGCTATTTAATCAATTAATATTTTGTTTTACAATATGAAGTATTATTTAGTGTGAAATCAGCACAATTCTTATTGAAATGGGGCCTTCAGATCGTCGATTTGGCTTTTCAGTAATGGGTGGTATTGATGAAGGTTTTCCTCCACGTATTGATGATATTTCACCAGGTAACAACTTTTTTAAATTACTTTCTTTAAGATTTTTTAAAGTTGTTAGTCAATAAAACAGTTAAGTGACATTTTTCAAGCGAAAAGTATCTTTTTACAAAAGCAAACTGCAAGCAAACTGCTAACTGCATTATAATTTTAAATCAATTAATTTTTATTTTTATTATTCTGTAATAAAATTAAACATTTATCTATAAAATAAAGAACCGCAAGTAAAAAAGTCATTAAAATAATATTTGATTGAAATTTTTGTAGTTTTCTGTATATAACTTTTTTAAACAATTAAATAAAAGTTTACAAAAAAAAATTATCTAAAAAATCACATTTGTTAGATAAAGTTGCTATTTTTATAAGGGCGATATTTAATTTAAAAGTTTGATAAGTGATTTTCTTCTAATTTATATGTTTTATATATAATATATTTTATATATATATTTTTTGTGTTTGTGTGTATATATATATATATATATATATATATATATATATATATATATATATATATATATATATATATATATATATATATATATATATATATATATATATATATATATATATATATATATATATATATATATATATATATATAAAAGCCTTCCCAGGAAAGGGGTGCAGTTTTTTTTCTCGTACGACAACGAAAACGTTTTTTAATTTAGACAACTTGATCATGGTCGTTTGCGCAAGTTTTATTCGCGTTGCTGAAAAAAGTTTTAAATTTAAAAACTACATAAGAAATTAAAGTAAACTTAAATAGAAAACAATAATAGTATTTTAAATAATTTGTGTGTTGTTTATATTTTTGTTTTTTCTTAGTGATTATTATTATCGACAATAAAATTCAGTAAGTTAAAGCAAAAAAAAAAAAAAATGTTTTTAAGCCTTAAAAAGGATGACCTTCCTATATTTTATGTGTTTTTTTTTTTTTAAAGAGGAAAGAGAAAATATGTATCATCATCTGTTTGTAAAATATATTTTTATAATTATAATATAACAGGTATATATCAAGGGTTAAATTATACGATCGCGATATGCAAACTCTGGTAAAATATTTGGTCTTTAAAATTTTAGTAAATGCAAAAAAATTTAGTTCATACAAAGCTGTGTACTTTGTTTACAAGGAGCAAATTATTAAAAGTTTGCTAGGGAGAAAGTTACAAAAAACAAAACAAAAACAATAAACTTATGACTACAAAAGTAATAACACTTTAGTCACTAACTGCATTATAAAAGTAATAAAACTATAATAGTGTTGTTACATTTATAAAGCACTTATTACTTTTAAAGTTCATTCTATGTTCAAACAACATTATTAATTCCAAACATTAATTAAAGTAGAAAAGCATCTAGAAAAAATAAATATTAAAATATAATTAATAAAAATTTATATTAAAATTTTTATTTATATTAATATTTTTCAAAGGTTGTTGCCTCTACTTTTGGTGGGTCTGTAGATCCTGATTATAAGAATATTTTTTAAAATCTAAGGAGGTCTTTTAAGTCTTTACAGGAAGAGTTTGGAGTATTTGAAACCCCTAAGCTTCGTTTAATCTTACACATACTGAGCAGTTTATCAATATAATTGGAAGAAGACATTAAAATATTAAAATATTAATAAAAATTTCAGGAACTTTTACAGATCACTTAAACAACGTTATAAAAGAGTATTTTATAAAAAGTATAGCATTATGAAAAACGCTCCATAAAAACGAGCGTTAATTTTAAAATCAACCAATAAAAAATTGTTATTGGTTAATTTTAAAATTAACACGCGTTTTTACCGTCCATTAGTAACATTTTTCATAATGCTAAACTTTTAATATGTTACGTTTTTATAAAGTTGTTTGTCATGTTTTTATAAGTTATTTAAGTTTTAAATGAAGACCTCAGTGGAAAAACCGGCGTTGTCACATTTAAAAAGTTTTGAGAAAGAATTTATTGATCATAAATAAAAGTTTTTATATTTGGTAAAGAAAATTAAAGATGAAAAAAAAATCAATATTTTGATTAATTTATTTAAAGTTTAATTATAAAAAAAATTTATATAATTTTTATTAGAAATTCCTTTTTTTTGTTGCTTTATATAAAGACTTTTATTAATGATCAATAAATATTTTCTCAAAACTTTTAAAATGTGACGCTGATTTTTCCACTGAGGTCTTTAAATATTATTTAAACATCCACTTTATTCTTCTAGATATTTTTCTACTTCAATTAAAATTTGGGATTACTTATGTTGCTTGAACAAAGAAGGAATTGTAAAAGTTATAAGTGCGTTATAAAGGTAATAACACTATTATAGTGTTATTACTTTTTTAATGCAGTTAGTGACAAGAGTGTTATTATTTTTTTAATCGTAACTTTATTGTTTTATTTTTTATTTTTTTGCTGACAAATTAAAGTTAATTTGCCCCTTAAAAACAAGGAACACAGTTTTGTATAAACTAAAATTTTGAATACTAGATATTTTTCCAGATTTTATGTTTTACATTCGCTTAATTTAACCGTTGTTATTACATTATTATTGTTGTTACATTAAAATTATACAAATATATTTTATAAACACATTGTAATTTATATTTTTGCTATCCTCTTAAAAAAAAAGTTAAGAAAAGGAAAATCATTCTTTTTAGTTGTAGAATTCAAACTGTTTTTTTTTCGCTTCGCCTTATCTAATTTTGTTGCTGAATGTAATAACCACTCTAAAAAAACAAAAATAAAAACAGTACACAATTAATTTAAACTATTAATGTGTTTTTATTTTTTTCTATTTTAATCTCTTTTTATTTTGTTAGTTTTTTTTTTTTTTTGTTTTTGAAACTTTTTCAGCATTGGTTATTATAAAACTTGCGAATGGCCGTGTTCAAGTTGTCTAAAATAAAATACTCGCGTGTGGTCATACAAGACAAAAAACCGCACAAAAAACCACCATTCCAATTGAAACATAACAAAATGTTTTCAATTGGATTCATTTATGGAATCATAATGATGGAATCATAATGAAATTGTTTTCAATTGGATTCATGTATGAAAGTTACCAGGCCGTGTAATATTTTTTTTCAAGAACCACAAACGAATGAATGGTTCGGAAATGGCAGAGAAGTATTTATGCTTAATGGACCACCATGCCATACTGCAAAATCAATGTAAAATTCCTTGAAAAAAAATATTACAAAATATTACACCAAAAAAAAATAAAAAAAATTATTACAAAATATTACACCAAAACCCTTTTGAGTTCCAAAGGGTTAAGGTGTCGGGAAAACTAGACTAATAAAAGAATGAGACTTTGCTGAATGATGAGTCAAACAAGAATGAGCTTTATTTGATGGAACTAAAGATGATAGTTCCTTTGAGCAGTGACCATGATAGTAATTGTAGAAAAGAGAAAGAGATGCAACTTTACGAAGATGAAAGAGGCTAAAGCTTAGCAGATAGATTGAGTCCAACATGCGTTTTTGAACCTTGCGTAGAAGAGAAAGAGCATCTTAAGAACCAGCCCAAATATGGCATCAGTTTCCATAGAGGGACAAATAAGAGAATTATAGAGGTAGAGAATGGAATCAGGAGAGAGAAAACGGTGAGCATGATAAAGAGAAGCAACTGTAGCAGATGCTAATTTAACAATCAATTGTATATATGGTTTCCATGAAAGGCCAGTAGTAAATGATAATCCAAGAAGACATAAAGAAGAGGACTCAGTGAGAAGTTTGCCATTCATTAATATAGAAAATGTCGACAGTACTGCGATAGTTGTTTGCAGTAAATAACTGAGTTTTGTTGGAGTTAAAATTTACAAGCCACTGTGAGCCCCAATCTGTTCTATGCTGCCTGTTCTAATTAAGATCAAAAAGAGAAGACCTTAATCTACTCAAGATTAATAGTTATGCTACTTTTTATTTGATCTCCTAATGGATGTGCAGGTCTAAATCTCAGTTAAATTTTTGTAAGATTAGCTAGTGACAATTTTTTGTGTACTCTGGGGTAGCTCTCAGAAAGGCAGAAGCCATTAATTGCTATAAAATTTCAGAGTATTAGTAGTACCAATTAACCCCGTTAGTGATTATAAAATTTTTGATTTTAAAAAAAGACTTTGTTACTTTAAAAAAAAAAAATCCTAAATATAGAAATAATTATAAAATAATTAATAATTAGAAATATATTTTAATAAACATTTTTAATATTATTTTAAAACTTCTATGTTTTAGGTTCCCCTGCAGAAAGGTGTGGGTTGCAGTTAGAAGATGAACTTTTGGAAGTGAATGGAATTAATGTTGAACATATAACACATGCTGAAATCATAATGAAAATACATAAAAGTAAAGTTCAAATACTTCTTAAAATAAGAAGGTATCTTTCTTCAAAGACAGAAGAAAAAAAGTATATTTCTTCAAAGACAGAGGAAAGAAAGTATGTTCAACAAAAAACAGACAATCAGTGTGAGATTAAATTTTTTTTTAATTTGTTATTTTCATCTTTTTTAACTCCTTTTTATAAATTTACTTTTCAAGGCTCCCTTTTAGAAACAAAAAAGCAATCAAAAATGTTTGTTTTATTCTAAAAATTAAATTTTTTTTTTTACAAATAAAAAACTTAAGCAGCATCTCATTCTAAATGTCTTTTTTATACTTGAGTTCTGTGAAAAATTAATTTAAATCGAGTAATAATTATTATTAAATAAATCGAGCTTTAGCTCTCGCTTCCAGCCGAGGAAGCGAGAGCTAAAGTTCTCTCTAAAACTCTCTAAAACGGTTTACGGGAGCAATTCACGGCACTCGCAAAAGTATAATATTTTTTACAAAAGTATAATTATTATTGTAACTAAAATAAAAAATACAATGTCATTAAAAAAAAATTAGTTGCATAATGTTCTGCAATGCTTTTTAAAAACATGGTTGTTGCAAAAAAAAATTAAATATAAAAAAGAGCGCCAATTTAAATGAAGAGCAGCTCGCACAGCTCCCCAAGTTTGTTGAGCTTTTCTCTGCTCTCGGGCTCATTCATTCCCACCGAGGCCTATATATATATATATAAATAAATATATATATATATATATATATATATATATATATATATATATATATATATATATATATATATATATATATATATATATATATATATATATATATACAGGCTTAGTCGGGAAGTAATATCGATTGTCTTGATTGCTGACCAAATAAATAAATGATATTTAGTTGCGAAAAGCTGGCCAGACTTTTTAGTCGTTTTGAGAACATTTCAAAAAACAAAAAAAAAAGCGCAAAGATAATTTGGACCGATGAGAAACAATTACAAAAAAAATTAGGCAAATAAAATATCTTTAAACGCAAAAAAACTTAAAGCTAAATAAATTACTTTTAAAACAAATATTTTTGAAACATCGCTTTTTTATAATTTTTTTCAAAAAATTAAGCGATGTTTTTTATATAAAGTAACATCTTACGATTGTTTAAGATGGAAACAAATATTCTTTATTTAACAAAGTTTGCAATTTTTAGTTTTATTTAAGCTGAATTATTTTATAAATAAAAAAAGTTAATTTTTTTAATACCTATTTTATGTTTCGCATATTTTGAAAAGTTTAACATATTTGAAGCAATTCTTCTTAGTAAGATAAACAAATGAAATAATTAAATAATTAAATTACTACAGAAATTAAATTAACAAGATAGAAATCAACTTAAAAGGTTAAAAATACTTTATGACCAGGAAGCGAAACTGCTTCACAATATTGCTGATGATGTTTAGTGACTAGGCTTTTTAATTTTAGTTAGTATTTAAAGCAGAAAAAAGTATAATGAGTTTTAAGAATGGCAACTTAAGCGAAGTTAAGAGTTAGTTAAGAGTTAGTAAACCAATATCTAGAAACTTTTCTTTATATCTAATTATTTGCTATATATATTTGTGTTCTGTCGTGACCTCAGGCGCGGTGCTTGTTTATCCGCGAGTTACTTTGTATGTTTAGTAACCAGAAACTTCTTATATGTTTGTTACATAATTAGTTTTATTAACTTTAATGATTATAACTTCATTAAAAACGCAATTATTTTTGTAAGTCTTTGTTTAAATCATAGAAATTGCTTCAAAAGATACATTACGATAAAAAACAGATACACAAAATTACATTTACATAAAGAATACATACTTTTTAAATAAAAAATAAGAATATACTAATAAAATCTATAATTTATAATAAACTTTTAAAATTTTGACAATTTAATTGATATATATTTAAAACATTTATTTTTGTAAACAAATAATATTAATTCTTAAAACAATTTACGCTAGAAATCTCAAAACGTAACAAATCGTGAATAATACAATTTCTAAAACATTTCAACAGAATACTCTAGAACTTTATTTTGTATTTTTTGAACCAATAGAATTAGTTTGTTCGTTAATTTGTCGGGTTTTTAGTGTTCGCGAATATTCTTTTTTTTCTTTCATATCAAGATGTTTTAAGAACATTAAAGTTTTTTATGTTTCCATGTGTGTCCGGAAAATAAAAATTTTTTGTTTCGTACATAAACTTAAATGTTCTCAAAACGACTAAAAAACCTGGCCAGTTTTTTGCAACTAAATATAATTTCCGTGGTCAGTATTCGAGAGCAATCGCTCCCCGCTTCCCAACTAAGCCTATATATATATATATATATATATATATATATATATATATATATATATATATATATATATATATATATATATATATATATATATATATATATATATATATATATATATATATATATATATATATATATATATATATATATATATATATATATATATATATATATATATATATATATATATATATATATATATATATATATATATACAGCGTGGAAAATAAGGAATTGAAGGCCAGCGGAGCAGCATTGACCGGCCAACTTTGGGAATTGACGGTCAATTGTTTTTTTTTGGACAGTCAAAATTTTTTATTTTTTCTTTGTTTTTACTTTGGTAATCTTGGCAACGGGTCGTTAAAGTCTTAAAGATGTTATAGCGAGTTTACTTAGTTCTTTTATAATATAATATAACCTGGTTTTTATTATTATTTTTTTAAATGTTGTTTTTTAAAATTTTTTTAAAAAATAAATTAATAAATAAACAAAATATTTATCAACAATTTTATATTGTTAATTTTAATACTTTGAAGTATACTAAAATATATAAAAAAATTTTATTAGAAAATTATTCTAATAGTTAAAGTTTGCTAATAGAAACCAGTAACTTTTTCGCTTTAATGAACCGTTCTTCTTGACTAAAGTTTATAAATACAAAAAATAGTGAAGGCTTGAAGGGCTTAAAGAATAAAAAATTGTTTTAATAACAATTTTAAATGAAATCAATGCTTTTTTTAAAAGTGCAAACAGGCAATTTATAACTTTTAATTTACTTAAAAATAATTTGTTTCATTGCAATAACTTCGCAAATGGTGGGAAAGTCTGAGCGAAAAATAATAGAAAAGATTAAATGAAAAAAAAAGTTAAGTTGAGATTATGTTCTTTTACATATAATAATTTCAAATAATAATGAAATCTGAAGGTAAAGAAAAAAAACTTTTACACATTTTATATCTCTTGCTCATTAAAAATATTTCAAAAACCACTAATGTTAATTAGTTAATGACGTTATGCGTCACTGAACTATGGAATTCTGTATGAGAGATTTGGCATATTTCTGAAACCTTTCATATACGGATTAAGTATACCAATACGCATTGGGAAGCGAAAGGCAATCTTTTATCTTTTGTTCCTCCAAACCAATTCTATCAAACATAAGATATGAAAACTTGACAATCAACATAACAAGGAAAGAAAGATGTTCACAAATTTCTATTCCCATTTTTATTTTATTTTTAATATCAATTTTTGGTTTGTTTCCAGTTTTATACCAGGTTAAAAACGGCATTTTATAAGTTAAATTAACTTTTGCAGTATTTGCGTTCTCCATTAATGACACATCTAATAGGGCAAAAAAAATCATTGGTGAATCTAAATACCAACTATGTTTGTATAGAGAGTTTACCTGCATCAAGAGCATCTAGTTCGGCACAAAGTTTTCGATACTGATGCATCTGGTGTATTGTTTTTATATAAAGAAAAGAAGCTCTTAGACTGTCATTAGCTTGTTTATATCATTTGGCATAAAAGCAAAATGTAAATTCATTTTTTAACTTCTGTCTTTAAGTGTATTGTTCTGATTTACAAACTCAAGTTGGTTAGAAAGAAGCTGGAGCTTCAGATAGTACAAATCTTTAAACAGGAACCTAGCATGATGAACTACTTTAAGTTTTCTTAGTTTTACTGAAGATGGAGAAAGGTAATTTACAACAAATTCTGCAAACTCCTCCCTATCTTCTCTAATGATATCTTTATTTTCGTTTTGAACATCCTCTTTTGCTATCATACATATACTATGATTAGCATATTTCATTTTTCTAGCTGCTGTTGACTGGCTACATTTGAAATCTGTTAAATCTGCTCCCAATTGTGTTATAATAGCATTAGTAACATTATGCTAAACACTTTAAGAAATATCATTGCTTGTAGCCATAAGAGCTACATTACCAGCAAAAATATCTCTTTATAATTCAGCAGTGAAAGAAAGAATTAACTCTTTAATTCTTTCTTTCACTGGCAGTTTTCTCTTTCTGGTATTCTCTGTTGGCTCAAAATAAATATAGTTCACCACTTATTAGTTTCCAAGAAATAAGAGTAGTGATTGAAAATTATTATTTTTGTTGAGCTTTTTTTTTAAAAAAAATCTTTTTAAGTGCTATGAAAATAGTAAGTTAATAAGTTTTGCAATCCAATTTTTTGGATTTAAATGAAAGTCATACTTTTTTTCTGTACTTCTTATTTTCTGATCCAAGAATAAAATTTCCTTTTCCTTCCTTGTCCTCGAAACTCTAAATCCTCAAGCTTATCTGCATCGGATCTTTTTTTATCATTTTTGGTTTCTGTTCTGGGATGCCAACCCAGAATATTTTATTCAGGTAAACTTTAAAATCATTTTGCTTTGCCAAATCTGCAGTTGATCACCTTTTTTCATGTTTTTTAAGTTTTGATTTAATTCATTATCTAGTTTTGAAAGATTCTTTACTATACTTTGATCATGTAATATAAAAAATCCAACTTTAATCTATGACTCTTGTATCTTTGCCAAAATACAATCACATTTACTTTCTAGTTGACATCTTTCAAAGATTTTTCTGAAGAGAACAAGCAAGAATAGTGTCTTTTTTTTGATATTCGTGGCAAAAATGGTTGTTTGTGAACTGTGTGCTCTAAAATTTCCATTCCTGTTAGAAGTTGACAAGATGAAATAAAAACATTCGCTTTATTTTTTGCTTAAGGGGATAGTTATAAAACTAAGTATTACCTTTAATGGCTGGCTTCTTTGATAATAAACAGTTTTTTTGTAGATCTTAGTTACATCTCATTACATGTTTTCTGACTATCTTCTTCCTTTTTATCCATATTTAAATTGATTTGATTTTCGCTAATCTAAAACATCAAATTTTAAAATAGTAATTTTTTACAAAAAATGGGACCAATACATTGTACTTATATTGAACTACTTTATATTGAGTACTTAATATTAAATAATATTAAACTACTTTAGTACTTTTTAGCCTAATATTGAAATACTTTAGCCTTGTTAAATTCTTTAGTTAGATATTTCCAACTTTGTTTTTTCTTCATTTCACACACATAAATATTGCTTTTTGATAGAGATCAATTGATTGTATCTTTTATTAAAATATCTATACGTTTTTTACACTTTGTTATTTACAAATTTGTTATGATCTTGATATACTACATTTATGTTTACCTGAGTGGATGACTGCGTTGACTAGTGAACCATGACTTCTTTCATAAAAGTAAATAAAATTTTATTGGAGATGGACAATATTAATAAAAAAATGTATATGCTCTAGATAATAAGTTCAAATCCTTTATCAGTTACACAATTGTATTATCAAATATTGTAATTTTTTCAATTACAAAAATTTTTTTTTTGTAAACCATGTATTTTTATTCAAATATATGGGCAAAAGCAAAGATCCTAGAAGAAAAAAAATTAAATTTTATTCATTGAACTTCCCCTGGATTTGTGAAATCTGGTTTTGATGGTTTTTGAGTTTTTTTCTCTAAATTAACATTCAAATAAGGATACTGTTGAGCTCAATTTTTTGATATATATATATATATATATATATATATATATATATATATATATATATATATATATATATATATATATATATATATATATATATATATATATATATATATATATATATATATATATATATATATATATATATATATATATATATATATATATATATATATATATAAGCCTCGGCAGGAAGAAATAAGTGCGAGAGTGGCAAAAAGCTCTCCTAAAACAAACATGGCGAGCTATGAAAGCTGCTCCTCTAAACAGCTTTTTAGGAGAGCTTTTGGTTTTTGCGAGAGCAATCTGTTTATTCATTATAAAAATTGGTTGTTAATTACAAAATTTTGGTTTTATACAGGGCGCGACAAATCGTTTTTTTTTTTAATGAACCTTGATGTTCGTATCTTTATTTAATGATGAACGACGTCTAATTTAAGAGATATATGTCAAAGTAGTTTTATTTTCAAATAATTTTAAACAGCAACAATTAATTGAAATAATGAAAGAAAAAAGGTTGCTGCCCCATGCCAAACCCTCAGTTAATGTAGCAGCACTTACTTGCAGCAGCAGGCTATAAGATAGTCGATGTAGCAACACTCCTTTGTAGCAGCAGGCTATAAGATAGTCTATGTAGCAACACTCCCTTGTAGCAGCAGGCTATAAGATGGTTGATGTATGTACTAAAGCCAATAAATATTCCATTTGTTTACACTAAAAAGTCTCCATTTTGATCAAGTCAGCAACATGAAAGCACAGCAAGCGAAAAAATACAATTATTTTATGCCGCTATTCTGCAACATTACCAAAAAAACTATAATAAAAATATTAATTCCATATATTCTATTAAATTGTATATATTTCAGCAAAACTTAAATATTCTTTTCAACATTTTAAAAGTGTTTTTAATACGCAAATAAATATTACTTTAAGAAAATAAGAAAATAAATAAAAAAACCATGCTATAGAAAAAAGCGATCATAATGTTTAAGCATGGTTTCTTTGGAAGTAATTGTAAATGCATTTATTTTAAGTAAAATTTAGGATGCGTTTGTTAACACATGCAAAAAACCATGGTAAAACATAATTACTATCTTTCATAGCGTACTTAGTTATTTTACTTAATAGTAGCATTGAATAAAATAATCTTGTTTTAGCATGGTTTCTTTTGAAGTCTTTAAAAAATGTTTTTAATTTTAGTAACTAATTGTTTAAAAAAACTATCAATTGCATAATTATTTGGAAAAAAAAATTGCTGAACTAATGCGTGTGTTTTTAAAAATATACAAACGCCAATGCATATGCAAAAATATAGAAATATGGCGTTCATTTTTCTGTCCATTTTTAAAAAAAAGATTGCACTTTCGTAGATTTGTTGCACCATCTCAAGCATATGTTGGTTACGTTAATATTACAAGAATACATAACAAGTGTCACTTATTGCAGCATGAAAAACTCTTTAGACGAGCATTGCTTTTACTGCTTATAAAAAAGTTATATATTTTCTTATTGTAATAAGTGCAGGCATTTTAAGAATTGTTAAAAATAATTCTTAAAATGAGAGCATTTCATGAGTATGCAAAGGTACTAATTAAAGGTATTTGTATTTATATGGTTGTGTTTGGTTTTTAAAGGTATTTGTATTTATATTAAATATATTAGTTATATATTTATGTTAAATTTATTATATTAAATATTAAATATATATTTATATTAAATATATTAATTAAAGGTATTTATATTTATATGGTTGTATTTGGTTTTTAAAGGTATTTATATTTATATTAAGTATATCAATTATATATTTATATTAAATTTATTATATTAAATATTAAATATATATTTATATTAAATATATTAATTAAAGATATTTGTATTTATATGATTGTATTTGATTTTTAAAGGTATTTATATTTATATTAAATATGTTAATTGTATATTTATATTAAATTTATTATATTAGATTATATTAAATATTAAATATATATTTATATTAAATATATTGATTAAAGGTATTTGTATTTATATGGTATATATATATTTGTATTTATATGGTTGTATGTAAGTGTTTGCATGTGTATATAATTTTATTTTTTTCAGACGGCAATAAAATGTCTCCAATTAAAACAAATGGATATATCAGCAAAACTAATGGTGAATCATCTCCAGTAAGTATTACCACGCCAGGAATGTTAAAGTTTAAAAGACAACCAGTAGCAGACCGAGTCAGCAACATACCTTCACGCTTTATAAATGAAGCATTCCATCGTGATGAATTTGATGACTCATTTGCAGATGATGATGATAATGATGTATCTTCTGATACTAAATCGTTAGGTAATAATATTTAGGCTTTTAAATTATTTCAAAAATTTTTTATAAATATGCACATAATTTGTATATAAACCATATAAACTGAAATCTTATACTACTGATTTAGGTGGGAGGTGTGATGTCATACTGAAATAGACTGCTGCCGGGGGCTTCAGTACATACATCAACTGAAAAGTAACCTGACTCGCAGTGGAGTGCTGTTACATAGCCTAAGGGTTTTGGGATGGGTCAGCAACCTTTTGATTCATTATTCTTCGTTTCCCTCTTCTTTTTCTAAAAAACCTATATCGATTTAGATGAGCAAAAAAAGTGAGCAAGTGCACATGTAAATATGTTATAGTAGATATTATATATACATGCCAACCTCAAACTGTTAAAGGTCGGCATTAGGTCGGCAAAAAAAAAAAAAAAAAATTGACACAAAGGGGTTACCATAGGAACAATATCGGCAATTTTTGCCGACCTCAAACACCATTTAGAACAGCAGTTAGGTCAGCATTGCTGAATGCCGACCTTAATTCCAAGGGTTATATATATATATATATATATATATATATATATATATATATATATATATATATATATATACTTATTTATTTATTTATATATTTGTATATATATATATGTTAAATTTGATAATGAAGGCTACATATAAACTTTTTTTTTTTTTTATATTTCAATATAATTATATATTTGCAATATTTTGCTGACCTATAGCGATCAGTTTCATCAGGTGTAATAAAAAAAATTGTTACAAAATTTCATAAATCAAACCTTCATAAAAAAAAAAAAATACAGGTGTAAAATAAAAATAGTTTTTATTAAATAATATAATGACATCAATTAAAATTTGACCAAAATAGTATCCAAGTTCTTTAAATTTCTATTCTATTTTGAAGAAGATTTTTCTTGTTGTTTTCTTTTTTCCTCTGCTTTTTTGTGAATCTCTTTGTCGTAAAATTCTTTTAAATTCATATTCTTGTTTGAGATTTGGGGAGGGGGCTGTGATGTTTTTTTGAGTTCCCCAACCCTACCTCTCCTCCTCCACTAGTTAAAACCAATGCCACGACAATGATTTTTAATCATCATTTTATTTATCTTTTTTAGTTTTATCCTGAGATAAAGAGTTGATTTAAAGGCTTTAAAGATTTAAAGATTTAATTTTTGAATACATGAATTTACCGGTGGACGATGTTACTTTATATAATAATAAAACTAATAAACTTTATATAATAATAAACTTATATAATAAACTTTAATAATAATAAACTTAATAATAATAATAATAATAATAAGAAAACTATTTTACTAAGACTTTAATAAACGCTTTTGTTGCAAATACCACGCTCTTAGTAAATACCACGCTCTTAGTAAATACCACGCTCTTTGTAAATACCACGCTCTTTGTAAATACCACGCTCTTAGTAAATACCACGGTCTTAGTAAATACCACGCTCTTAGTAAATACCACGCTCTTAGTAAATACCACGCTCTTAGTAAATACCACGCTCTTAGTAAATAGTTATTAAAATTTTTTTAAAGTATTTAAAAAATTTTATTAACTTTATTTTAGTTAATTTAATTTTGGTAGTTAAAATTTTTTTTAAATAATTAGTAATTAAATGTTTAAATTCTTTAAACACTTTTTAATCTATATTTACATTACATAATATATTTACTCACAAAGACTGCAATTTTTTATTTTTTCATTTATTATCAAAACCAGTTTAAACTTAATTGCCAATAAACAAAAGTTAACTTGTTGAATGGATATTTAAATTTCATTCTATTTTTCAAAAAAACAAATTTTTTATACAGTCCTTTGTTATAAAATTACAAATTAAGCTTTGAAAATTAAGTTTTGTAACTATATTCACTTTTTTAAAACTAACATTCAGTTAGTAACCGAAGAACAGTTAAATCACAAAACTTCATAAAAAAAGCAATTGCTTTTTATTCATTTATTGACCTAAAGAAAAAATGAAGCAGCTAAAACAAACTGAAAATTGTTTATCAACTTTTTTTTATTTAAAACATTTAAAAGCATTTAAAACTGAAAGTTTTTTCTTCTATTTTTAATAAAAAAGCAAAAGAAAAGTTTAAAGATAAATAATTTTTGGGCACTTTTTTTTAGGCGTCCATACCACTTCAGCAGTACTAAAACAGGTCTGGGTTTGTCCCTGGAAGTTTAAAAGTGAAATTTTTGAAAAACTAAAACACTTTTTTGTTTAAATGACACTTGAAAATTGGTATTAATGAAGTTGTCATGCTAAAAGAATTTTTTAAGTTGTTCTTGCTCTTGTGGAAAAAATTGTTTGATTTATAAATAATCGATTTGATAACTTTCATAAATATTGATGAAAAATCACTCAGGAACAGTCACTATATATTTAAAGTTGTTTTTTTTTATTTATCCTAATGAATGAGTTCAAAAGGTTTCCGATTCTTTTGTTACATAACTCTAAAAATTCTAATTCTAAATAATAGGTATAAAAAATCCTCCATAATAATTTCTCAGTAACATAATTTTTAATCAATGTTTACATTACATAATATATTTACATATATTAAATCATGTAATATTTGTAAAATTAACAAAATATTTTTTTTTTATTTTTTTTTTTTAACATCTTCGCTTCCAACAAGGCTGCAAGCAACCACTAATTAGTGTTGGAAGTTACTGGAAGAGAAAAGATGAAGATTGTAGAGCAAGATAACGATTGACAGACGACTTAAAAGATTGCAAATTATATGAATCAGGAAATCAAAATGAAGGAAGCGAATTCCATGGAACTGATGTTCGAGGAAAAAAACTAGACAAATAAGAGTTTTTGGAGCACTTAGGAACAGTAACAGAAAAAGGATGAGACTTGATTGAATGACGAGTAACACGAGAATGAATTTTAGTAGATGGCACAAGAGACGCTAGCTCTTTCGAGCAGTGCCCATTATAGTATTTTTAGAAAAGAGAAAGAGAAGCAACATTACGACGATGTGACAGAGGTTGAAGGTTGGCTGCAAGTGTGGGTCCAACTATGTTTACAATGCGTTTTTGCACCTTGTCTAAAAGAGAAAGGGCATCATTAGAAGATCCACCCCAGATATGACAACAGTATTCCATACAAGGCCGGTTTCGAGATTTATAGAGATAGAGAATAGAATCTAAAAGAAAAATAGAAAATAAAAAAGTAAGAAAGTTTAGCATCTGCTAAAGTTTTAAGCAACTTTAGCAGATGCTAATTTTGCAATGGATTTGATATAAGGTTTCCAAGAAAGATCAGAAGTAAGAGTTAATCCTAGAAGATGAAGGGTAGGAGACTCATCGAGTACATTACCATTCATAAATATAGGAAGGTCTAAATTATTGCGATAACGATTGGCTGAAAAAAAATGAGTTTTAGCTGAATTAAAGTTCACCAGCCACTGTGAGCCCCATGCTGTAGCAGAAGTGAGATCCTTTTCAAGCTCAGATGCCCCCTGCAAGCAATCAGAGGGAGTTGGCTTCATATCGTGACAAGAATAAATGGTAGTATCATCAGCAAACAATGCCACCTTAGATGTGAGAATATCTGGAAGATTATTAATGTAATTAAAAAGAGTATAGGGCTAAGGATTGAACCTTGAGGAACCCCTGAGGTTACAGAATAAGAAGAAGAGTGCTGTTCATCAAGGACAACTTTTATGCTACAATTGGAAAGGAAGGATTCAATAATCTTAAAGATGTTTCCAGATACACCGAAAGAAGAAAGCTTATGGAGAAGACCAGCATGCCAAACTTTATCAAACACCTTAAAAATGTCAAGAGCGATGGCCTTAACCTCTCCACCTTTATCTAATGCGCGATAAAACCTATCGGTTATTACTGTTAGCAAATCAGCCGTAGAACGAGAAGATCGAAATCCATATTGATGATCAGAAAGTAGGTTATGAGATTCGAGATTAAGTGTTTGTTAATTAAAGATTCAAAAACCTTGCTTATGATAGGAAGAAGACTAATGGGACGGTAGTTAGATGAATAAGATCGCTCTCCAGAATTTTTAAAAATAGGGATAACAGATGCTGCTTTCCAGCAGACTGGAAAACAAGACTCTGATAAGCAATTGTTTTGTAAAATAAACAATAGTTTTGAAAGGATAGAGGACAGCTCCGGAGAACACTTCTGCAAGACTATAACAGGTATGTTGTCCGGGCCGCAAGCTGTAGAAGAGTCTAAGCAGAAAATCACTTTAGATACAGAAGCTGGAGTGATACGGATGTTGAGCAGTGGATCAACCTGTTTGACGGCTATATCAGGTAGAATGCAACTAGTGGAATCTAGAAATAATATTGATGAAATGTTCTTGGCAAACAATTCAGCTTTGTCTTTAGGTGAGGTGACAAAGTATGAACCGTACAAAAGAGGTGGAATTACAGACTTGCCCTTGTTATTGATATTATTAAAGATTCTCCAGAAGTCACGAGAGCCTAATTTTTGTGATGAAATACAAGATTTCATGATCTGAGAATAGCGGACTTTGGCATTAGACAAAACCTTTTTACAATGGTTCCTAGCAGTAATAAACAGGCGTCTGTTTTCTAGAGAATTGTTTTGCTGATAGATATGTAATAATGGTTTCGATTGGCAATTGCAGCAGCACAATGTGAGGAAAACCATGTAGAAGAGTGAGGCTTGACCTGGAATTGTAGAGAGGGAATAAAGGATTCCATGCCAGCCTGAATCCACGAAGTTATGTAAGAAGCACTTTTGTCAACAGGAAGACGAAAGATTTCTACCCAGGGCCATCACAAAGAAAATCACAGAAATTATTTGGGTTGTCTGGAAAGCGAGTTCGAAAGTTGACTATTTGAGTTAAGGATTGAGAAAGGCAAAATTTGTGGGCCTTAATGCCTGCGGAGTCACTGACACTGGAGCCAAGCCATTCAGTGTGATGAACATTAAAGTCACCGACAACAACAATATTGGCTGATGGATAAAGAATGAGGGCTTGGTCAATATAATCAGAAATAAAATCAAGAAGAGTGCAGTCTTGAGATGAAGGAGAGCGATATAGAACAAAGAGAAAGGTGATAGAGTGAAGTGGTGCTAAACGAAAGCACATAAAAGAGTAGTCTGTGGATTCAAACCTAGTTTCCCGACAAATGGGTGAATTTTTACGAATGTAAATGCCTTAGCCATGCATGTGACTATTGGAGTCTTTACGAACTAAAGGAAGATAACCATCAACACTAAGATCACAAGATGAGACAGCTGAACTCAAATTAGTCTCACAAATAGCAACCTTCTATTCAAATAACTATTCAAATAAAAAACATAAGTATTTAATAAACGTAAATACTATTATTTTAATTTTAAAATTTTGATTTCAATATTATCAAATCTGTTCATTTCAATATATTTACATATATTAAATCATGAAATATTTGTAAAATTAACAAAATAGTTTTACATCTTTTATTCGAATAACTATTCAAATAAAAAACATAAGCATTTAATAAACGTAAATACTATTATTTTGATTTTAAAAATTTGATTTAAATATTATCACATCTGTTCATTTCACTTTTACTAAAGGTTAAATAAACATAATTTAAAAAAGGTTATATATTTTTGATTAAAAAACATTATATTTTAAAAAACATATTTTAAAAAATATGTCATATTTTTTTAATCATTAAGTATAATTACAAAAATTACCTTCAATAAATAAGTTACAATGGGTTATTTTAAACAGATCTTAATAAAACTTTTATCAATTAATATATATGTTAAAATATATATGTTATTGTTATTTTTATTACTTTAAAAGTCAAAAAAAAAATGGAAAAGAAACAAAACTTTCTGAAAAAGTTTACATTTCGTTTTTTCGTAAACTAAAATAGTAAAATAGTAAAGATCAAAAGTTTATTCATTCAAAAATTAAATTTGCGCAATAGTTATTAAGGACTGAAATTTTTTACTTTTGTCCATTTATTATCAAAAGCAGTTTACTCTTGATTTCCAAAAAACAAAAGTTAATTATACTCAGAATGGATATTTTAAAATTGTTCTATCTTTCGAAAAAGCAATTTTTTTAGACATTCCATTGTTATAAAATTTTGCAAAATTTTATAACAATGGAATTTAAGTTTTTAAATAAGTTTTTAAAAGTAAGTTTTGTAACAACATTCATATTTTTAAAACTAGTAACCCAAGTCACATAATTACGTAAAAGTGTCACATAATTACGTAGAAAAGCAATTTCTTTTAAATCATTTTATTGACCTGAAGAAAAAATTAGGTAGCTAAAATAAACTGAAAATTATTTATATACATTTAAAACTAAATTTTTTTTCTATTAGCAATAGCAATTCTAAAAGCAAAAGAAAAATTAAAAAATAAAATTAATTTTTGCACTAGAATATATATATATATATATATATATATATATATATATATATATATATATATATATATATATATATATATATATATATATATATATATATATATATATATATATATATATATATATATATATATATATTTGTACTAGCCCTGACGAGAGGTTCGAAGTTTGACTCCCACCATATTCCTGGAAGTACTGCGCTCAACTTAATTTCTCCGCGCAGCGGCCTTGCTTGTCAAGGTTCGTGTTTCGGAGTTAAAGAGTTGAGAGAGGGTTGTACCATGATTTACAACAAAAAACAAAACAAAAAAATGAGTAGCCTCCTTTACTGTAGTGGTCCCCTCGGGCCTTGGGGAGGTAAATAGTTAAAAAAAAAAAAAAAAAACATTTTATGGAATTATGGATTTTTATTTCTTTTAAGCATAATGAAATTATTTTTAGGATTTTCGAAGTTTGTGGCGTTGTTAGATGTAATGCGCAAGTCTACATCACAACACCAACAAGATGACATAGCTTTTTTTCAAAATTTGTTATATTTAAAACAGTTTCAAGACTGTATTAAAGTAAATTTTTTTTTTTTTATATTGTTTTGTATAATATAATTTCTTAATAGTGTTAATTATTATTATTTAAAAATGTTTAACTAAATTTTTATTAATTATTGTTTTATTTATAATATTTATTATCTATGTTTTTAAAATTTTTTTTACACTGTACATTTTTTAATAAAACTTTTTTTGAAATCTGAAGCTAATATTATGTGTTGAGTTTTTTTTCTTCTTTCTTTTACAGATTCATAATCAAATGAGTAAAGCAGCAATAAAAAAGAGAAATGATTCAATGAAACCCGTTGCAACAAATTCAACATTTCTGTTATCTGAGGTTTTTTAATTTTTATTAATGGAAATATTGTTACCGGAGAAATAAATATATATATATATATATATATATATATATATATATATATATATATATATATATATATATATATATGTATATATATATATATATATATATATATATATATAGTGATTTTGCCGGTTATCCGTTTCAAAAACCGGATAACAGTTCTCATCAATTTGCGGTTAACCGACTATTAGGTTAATTAGTGACGTTTTCTAAATACAGGATCTTCTAAATTTCAACAAACGTAGTGTTTTTAACTAATTTTTTAAAACTTAATGTTAAAGTGTACATTTTAAAGACAGTGAATACAGTCCTATATTATATATTTATAACAAAACATGGAAAAAGATATATATATTTTTTATATTATAATGTAGTATACCTTTTTATTTATTTAATTAAAAAAGGTAGGAATAATGTACAAGTATAGTTTAATTGTTTTAATATCAGCGGATATTTTATAATCATTCTTTCATATAAAAACATTTGATTTGGAAAAATGAGATGTTATGAAGTAAATTTTTTTAGCATGTATTGTTATGCGGACATAGATTATTGTTATGCCGACATAGATAGAAACAGATAAACTTGAATGTTCTCAAAACAACTTGTTGCGTAAAGATAATATAAAGAATATTTGCTAACACTAAAATACCGCCAAATCTACGAATAAACAAATTCTATTGGTTCAAAAAATACGCTGAATAAGCAAATTAGAGTTCCAGAATATTCTGAAGAAACTTTTTAAAAAATGTATTGCTTGAGTTGTAAAAGTAATAAATAAATCTTTGAGATTTCTATTGTAAATTGTTTTAAGAATTTATTATCAAACAAAACTGATTAAATTAACATTTAAATTAATAAAAGAAATATATTATAATCTTTGATAAATTATCATTTGTCAAACAATAATCGTCATAATCACGATGTTACTTTCTATAAAATTTCGTAACATTTTAAAGTCGGTTTTTATTATTTGAAAATAGATATTTGATATGCGAACAAAATCCAGTTAACCGCAAAACCGGATAACCGGCGAAATCACTATATATATATATATATATATATATAAAATAATGTTTATTTATAGTTTATACTATTATATTGAACATGGTATTTTATTGAGCATATACCATTGAATGTTATTGAACTTATGCAATTATTTGTATTGATCAATCATATTGCCGCACATCCAAGGTCTAATGGAGTGATTTTAACAAATTTGAATCTAAATTCAATTGATTTATGAAGATTTATATCTTTTTAGATGTTCATGCTTGCAATGCAAGTTCAGAGTGAGGACATATGTAGCAAGTATATCATTTCTTCAAGAGAATTTAATTATAAAAAACCATCCCCATTACCTAATTGTTTTAGTATATCTTTTATAAATATTTGTGGTCTGAGAAGCAACCTTCCATCAGTTGAATCTTACCTCTTGCAAAATTTACCAGACTTGCTTGCTCTTAGTGAGACTAATTTATTATGTTATTCCCTCTTCTGACCTCAGTGTTGATGGGTAACAAACATCTATTTATTATTACAAGAAATCGATGTAAAAAAGGTGCTGTCTGATGCTAGGCCCCATTATTCTTACTTCACTTAATCTCCTATCTCCAGAAGTTAAGCTCTAGAGACTTTTGGAAAATCTTCAACAGCGTCATTAACAAGGGTTTAACATTCCATCTCTCATTCATGGGACTGATCTTATTACCTCTCCCAAGGATAAAGCTGAACTATTTGCAAAGAACTTTTCTTCTAATTCTCAACTCTCGACTTATGGCCATTCTCTTCCTTCTATTCCAATTAAACAGGTTAACCCATTGTTAGACATTCAAATCACTCCAGCCTCCGTTGCTCTTAATTAAACTCTACCGCTTGTGGTCCAGACAACATTCTTGTCACAGTCTTACAAAAATGTTCTCCAGAACTCTCTTCAATTTTCTCTAAACTATTTAATAAGTGCTTGACTGAGTCTTGTTTTCCTGGCTGCTGGAAAACGGCATCTGTTGTTCCAATTTTCAAAAACTCCATTGAACATTCTGACCCCTCCAATTATCGTCTAATTGGTCTTCTTTCTGCTTTTAGCAAGGGCTTAAAGTCTATGATGAACAAACTACTCACATCCCATCTTCAATTAACTTTCTGTCAAACAATCAATTCGGTTTTTTATCCTCTCGCTCTACGGCTTACTCGCTAACTACTGTGACTGAAAGATTTTATTGTGCATTATATGGAGACGAAGCAGCTGGGGCTATTGTTCTTGACATATCTAAAGCTTTCATAAAAGTTTAGCATGCTGGTCTTTTGCTTCGTATGGTGTATCTATGAAACTTTTGAGATTATCAAATTGTTTCTTTCTAACCGCTTTAAGTCAAACCTGGAAGGCCAACACTCTTCTTTATTTCTAGTAACTTCTGGGGTACCTCAAGGTTCTATCCTTGGTCCTATTTGTTTCTTATCTACATTAATGATCTTCCTGACAACCTTACATATGAAGTAGCTCTTTTTGCTGATGACTCAACTTTATACTCCTGTCTTTACAAAAGGTTTCTCTTTCCAATTGCTTAAAATATGATCTCACTTCTGTAACAGATTGGGGCTCACTGTGGTTTATAAATTTTATCCCCAACAAAACTCAGTTATTTACTGCAAACTACTATTGCAGTGTTGTTAACATTCCTATTTTAATGAATGGCAACCCTCTCACTGAGTCCTCTTCTTTATGTCTTCTTGGATAATCGTTTCCTATTGACCTTTCATTTTAACCAAATATACTTTATACTTACTTTTTATACCTTGCTCTATAACTCTTTTTTTTTCTGTATCTTCTAACTTCATAGTGGTTCAGCCTTGTTAGGAGTAAATCAGATTTAAAAAAAAAAACTTTATTATAAATTATAAGTTAATATTTGGCATTAACTATCATTATCTTTTACAAAACAGGTTTAGGATGGGAGCAGACTTGTTATATTACCAACCACTCTAATATATATATGATAGTAGTGTTGCAGTAGACTTGTTTGAAAGGTGCGAAATTCAAACTCACCACATCCCTAGAGCTAGTTTCTTCTCTCAATAACCTTTAAAGTTGTGGGTTTTCAAGTTGGAGAGAGAGAAAACAAACAAATAGAATAAAAATATTTTAGTAATTTTATATAGATATAATTGTAATTTTTGTTTACTAATTTTTTTTTTTTTTTTTCAAATTAGGTTAATAATTTGTTAATGGGTCTGAATGATCCTGGAGCAATTAAACTTTTAAATATTATAAACAGACCATTTTTTAAAGTAAGTCGTTTCTTTTTTTTTTTGTTTTTTTTTTTGTTGTTGTTGCTTTATTTCATTGTTAATTTAATTACTTTTGCAAGTTTGGGGGTATTAGCTATTACAATAAAAAATTGGTGTTGTCTTAACATCAATTTATCAGATTAATAAATTTTTAACCACTCAATTCATACACATCAGTATTTCAAAAACCTATTCTCTAAATAAAATGTTTCTCTTTTATTAACAACTTTATTGTAGGAAGTACACTAATTTCTACTAACATATTCTTTAAAAACATCTATAATAATGGAAATGTATCCTTTCATAAAACTCATTATTATGGTAAACATTCTAAGCAGTGCGTTTGCAAATGGAACAAGAGTTTTGAAAATTTGTGGATGAGTTAAAAAACTAAAACTTCAAATAATTTTATTATCTTTTTCATCTAAACAAAATCAATTTTTATTTTCAGTCTATATTTATATACATTTATATATAAGTACTTTATATTTAAATAATTATTTTATTATATTTATTTAAATGTCTTTTTTTTGCTTAGGAACTTCTTAATGCTCATGATCATATTGCTATGCGTGAATCGTTAGATTCTTTTCCTGAAATTGAAAATGAATCCGAATATGATCAAGACGATATAAATGAGTTTATAGATGATCAAAGAGTAAAAATTGTTCGTATTGACAAAACAAATAAACCTCTTGGTGCCACTGTAAAAAATGAGGGGGATGCTGTCATCATTAGTCGAATTATAAAAGGAGGAGCTGCAGAAAAAAGTGGTGTGTGACCTTTTTGTAAATATAAATATGAATATATATATATATATATATATATATATATATATATATATATATATATATATATATATATATATATATATATGTGTGTGTGTGTGTTATGTGTTCTATGTAATAAATTAACACTAAATTAAAAAAAATTTTAAATAAAAAAAAAATTTAGGGGTTGCTTAAGACCCTTAAACATCAAACGAGTCCCTAATATTTTGAAAAAAAAAGTTCTTGAAAAGTATATCATGTTGGGTCTCAAAAGAAGTGAAATTTTATAAAAATTTCAAAAATAATAATTATTTTATATAAATATTACTAGTTTAAATTTTATGGCCTAAAAACTATAATTTTTTGACAAAAAATTAAAAGTACATATGTTTTTTTTTGATAAACTTTTTTAATTTGTGTTTCCATAAATTGTTTTTATTATTTTTTAAATTTTCATAAAATTTCACTTCTTTTGAGACCCAACATGATATACTTTTGAAGAACTTTTTTTTTCAAAATATTAGGGACCTGTTTGATGTTTATGGGTGTTGAGCGACCCCTAAAATATTTTTTTAATTTAGTGTTAATTTATTGCATCGAACACATTTAGGCGGTGACAACAGACAATTTCAAAAAAAGTTGTTTTTAGTGGCACTTTAATATATATATATATATATATATATATATATATATATATATATATATATATATATATATATATATATATATATATATATATATATATATATATATATATATATAATGTAAAAGTCAATATATAAATATAGCTAAAGTGATTTATTTGTAATACATTTATTTTAGAACTGTTACACGAAGGAGATGAAATTCTAGAGATAAACAATCAGTCAGTTAAAGGAAAAAATATTGATGAAGTTGTTGAATTGTTATCTGAGCTTGAAGGAACTATAACTTTTGTACTTCTGCCAACTTCTATTCATAAAGATACACAATTTGAAGAAGGAGTATTTTTGAAAGCCTTATTTGATTACAATCCAAAAGATGATCAATATCTTCCTTGTCCTGAGTTAGGTTTACCTTTTGTAAAAGGTGATTTATTAAAAATAATAAATCAATCGGATCCTGATTGGTGGCAGGTAATTTTTAATTTTTTTTTCTACTATAGAAATTTTTAAATCAATTTTTTTGTTATTTACATACTTATAAGTTTCTGTTTTATATTTTTATGTTTTTTTGTATGTCTCTAACTTTTTAGGCTCGCAATGTAAATGGTGACCAACAAGGTTTAGCTGGGTTAATACCAAGCAAAAAGTTTCAATTGCAGTATGTATTTTTTTTAAATTTATTTTTAATTTCATAAATTAATTTTGTTTTTTATATAAATATTATTTATTTAATTTGAATGAGGAGGGGAGGAATTAATAAATTTTTAACAATCAACTTAAAGCTATTTTAATTATGTTAAAGGGATCCCAAACTGCCGAGACAAGTTGTGTTCATATTAAAGAAAATGTTTAAAAAAAACATTTGGGTTTAATTTTTTTTTAAACGAATTATTTTACTAATAACCGTTCAAATCAAACTAAATTAAAGTTAAATCAAATATTTGTACTAAAATATACAAAAAATAGTTATAATATGAATATAAAAACAAAGAGTTGCATTTAATTGTTTGCTACCAGACGAACAAAAATCTTTTTGTTGCAACTGCACATTTTTTTGAATAACGTTTGAATAGCATAACATTGACAATTAATTAAAATTCGATAATAATAAAGTTTTTAACACGCATCATTAAACAATGAAAAAGTGTAAAAAAGGATTATTCAAGATTTTTTAACTTTGTGATAACTTTTTTATAATTACACAATATAGCTCTTATTTTTTCTTGATTATGTAGAGAATTAATTAAACCTTTAGAATAAACAAATTCTATGTGTCTAGAATGGAAATTTATGTACAAAAAAAGATAAATTGTAAAGCATACTCGAAAGCCGCTACCAGTGGCTTGCGGTAGTGAAAGAGTTGAACCATAACTAAATGTAAATTCAACATAAAACAAACAACTCTATTAAACCATATGAACTAAATATAAAATGAGAAATCTCATCATACTGCCTTTATTTTTTCTCTGCCTGCGAACTCTAATAATCACAAAATATGTATAATTGTGTCATGATTTTTGCTTGCTTTTAAAACAAAGTAATAATAAAGCAAGTAAAAAATATATATATATAAATATATATATATAAAAATATATATATATATATATTTGTATAATTTTTTAATAAATCACAAATAGCTTTTGTGATTTAATAATAAGTTTTTGTGATTTAATAACAAATATTTGATTTTCTGATTGTAGTAGAGTAAAAAATAATTATATCTTAAAAAGATATTGCGCTGACGTCAAAAACCAAGACTGTTATGAATCAAACACGCATAGTATAAATTATCAAGTCTGCAGATTGCGGCTAACATTATACAGACCCCAAAAACCAAAAAAAAAAAAGGAAAAGGCGAGCTTCGACTAAAATGTTGATTTTAATTTTGTTTGTATGCATTCATTATTTAGTTTCAATCAAAAAAGTTTAGCCAATAATTTTTTTTTAAACATTTTCTTTAATATGAACACAACTTGTCTTGGCAGTAGGGGATCCCTTTAAAGCTATTACAATCAACTTAAAACTGTGTGAATTTTATAAATAAATTATAAAAAGTTATCATAATAATATATATTATCAAAGTAATAATTTATATAAATATAAATTATCACATTTCAAATACCACCAAAAATTATAATTTATAGCATAAAATCCAAAAACCCAGCAGATGGACTCTAAAAAAATTATCATACTGTTGTTCATACCAAAATTAGGCATTATACTTAAAAGAGATTTTTGTAGAGTAAAAGTACTGTTTTTTTTTGGTTCTTTACTTAACCTTTTATGTTGCAATAAATGCATAATGTATGCATATAGATATCTGGGTGTTTATCAGTTAGATTGTACGTGTGGTGTGAGTTATGTTGGTGAAAAAATAGAGGCACCCAGCACTCTAAAGCTGATAAAATTTTTTTCTATGACTTTTAAGCTCAGTATATCAATTTTAAATTGATTGTTTTTCCAGAATGTTATGGAACATTCTATAACAACTGTGTGATTTTTGTTTATAGTTTTTTTATTAGTAATTATTTTTGTTACGTTTAAGCCATTTTTTAATGTACATTTTTGTTTATATTTTTTAATGTACATTTTTATTATATTGTGTTAAATTTATGTGGTCATACTGTAAATGGATAATTTTAATTTCATGAGTAAGTAATTTACGATTGTTTACAAGGAAAAAGGATTTTAGTTTTTTGTTATGTTGAAAACAAGAGAAATTCATCATCTTTTAATTTTAATGTTGTCTAAATAACTTTTCTAAAATACAGTTTTCGCCTAGAATATTGTAAATTAAAATAAATCTAATGTGTTTATTTTAAGTAACCTCTAAAAAAAATGAAAAAACATTATATTGTGAAAAATAATCATTTCATACACCCTAATATTTAAAGACTCCAATTAACCTGAGGAGGCCAAATAACCATACCTAAAATGACCACCAGTGTGATTATAATCACTCCTGAAAACAAACTATGATTTGAATTCCCCAAACCTCAATTACCTATACTTAGATATCCAACTGTCCCATATGATTAAAAAACCATTGGAAGATCCCAGAACCACCCTTGACTGCCCCTAAAAGACCACTTTTATGGTAATGAACACTTCCAAATATGCCCAGATTTAAACTTTCCGATCTCAATTACCTATAGTTAAACAAACAATATGTCCCATTTAATTGAAAAACCATCAGGATATTTTATGACCACCCTTAACCATCCCTAAATTGACTACTAGAGTGGTCATAACCATTCCTGAAGACTGAATATTCCCTATTTTGAATTCTCTGACCGCAAAAGTCTATGTTTAGACATATAACATGTCCCATCTAATTAAAAAAACATTGATACATCCCATGACCACTCTTTTCAATCCCTAAATTGACACCCTATTTAAACCCCTAAAGTGTTCATGACCACTCCAAACTTAAAATTGAACTGGAAAATGAATATCTTGGCTCCAAAAAAAATTTTTTTGGATCTTGGCTCCAAAAAATTTTTTTAAAAACCCCTATAAACATGTATCATATGTCTATACTTAACCCATTAATTGTTTTACTATTTTACCCAGCTGTGCAATAGTAATTTAGTGATGACACGCCATTGGAGACCACTTTTTGTTGAACTAAACAAGTCTGAATCTGTTATGTTGCAATGACATCATTTTTATTAAAATTTTATGAATTTGTATAACATTTTTTTCAGTTTGATAATGGCATATATTATATCAGACAAAATATTGCTCTAATATAAAAATAATATATAACCGAACATGATGTAATTTTTTATTATTTAAATATAAACAATATTTTATTAATGATGTCACTTAAGCAATACATATATTAAAAGAGATAGGACCTCATTAGAAGATGCCCAACATGACAACAGTATTCCATACAAGTATGAATAAGAGATTTATAAAGGTAAAGTAAATATTTAGTTTAATTTGCCAGCCACTACAAGTTACAGAGAAAAGAAATCAGATTCAAGATTAACTTCCTGCTCACAGTAATTAAACAGTGATGACTTTGTCAAGACAAAAGTACATTATCAACTTAATAAACCTAGTGAAACTTTTAAATTGGTTTAAACAAAAAATGTTTAAACCAATTTAAAAATTGTTTGTACAAAAATGAAAAAATCAATAATTTTTTTTTTTTTTGAGTACATTGGTTTTGATACACATGTACTTATAGCATAAGAAAACAGTTTAAAATCTTCTTACAATCATAAGTTGTTTTTACTTAAACTATTTTATTTTTTGTATTTGATAATGTGGTAAGATGTAAAAAACCCAAAAAATTCTTTTACTTAGCAATGGATATAAACCTTTGTTAAGATAATAGCTCTGAGAGCTGTGCACTAAGTTGGTGAAGGTATATGTCACTTTAAAAACAAACCATTTCTATATAAATCCTTTTAAAATTTTCATAACTTTTCATGTAATTAATAAACATATTTCATAGCAGGTTTAATAAAAAAAAACTTATTTGAAAACTACAGTTGTTTTTTTTAATAGTAAAAAAATTACATTTTTTAAATAGAATTATTATTATTTTTTAAATAGAATTATTATTGTTTTAAGACCTGTATTGTTTTATAAAGAAGTCTTGGTGCATTATTGTAGTGCCATGAACCCTTTGCAACAAACCACATAGGACACTAAATCTGGATTATGTACAGTTACTTTGTGATAAAGTTTAAATCATGTGTAGGTATCTCAGTTCTTGCATAAACCATCGAAATTCTTAAAGCAAGAGTTAGCCATCATGCACGGCAAACTGAGCCAGGTTTCTTGTTAGCAAACTTTTTAGAAATAGAACCTTTCTACAGCTACCTCTTTTCAATGATATAATACTAGTATACTCATAAACTGGTCTGTAATCACAAACAATGTTGGTATTCATATACAATCTCAGAATCTATGGAAACAAACTGAATTAAGTGTTGTTTATTGTTGTTCACTAAGCGTCTTTATACTTTTTAGGCTCATTTGTTTTTCCATCTATTTCAGATATAACATGGCGAAGTGGTAGCTCACACTGGTTAAGCAAACTACTAAATAGATGCTTTTCAAAAAAAAAATTCAAAAGCTTTTCTAATTTGACAACTAAACTCCTATCTAGACCAGTGTTAGAACATGTATTAACATTTAATTAAATATGAACAAATGGTTAGAAATAAGCAATTGATGGTCTTTTTTTTTACTTGACAATTTTTGTGATCTGTAATGTAAGTGTATCTGTAAATGCTAATAATACTTGTAAAATGTTAAAATATTGAAAATACCAAACAAAATGTCTTATAATTTTTTTTCATTGTTTTCATCCATTCAAGATGGTATCATGTTTTTTAAAGCTACTGTGATCCCAAGGATTCTTCGATTTAATGTGAAATTAGTTTTGGAAATTTAAACATGGTATAAACAATTATTATTGTTATGAAGCCACATAAAAACTTAAAATAAACAACTCAACACAATATTACCATGGTCAGGTAATATTAAATAATGTTATGAGTCCAAATAAAATGTATGTATGTAAGCAAGTAATATGTATTAGTAAAGTATGATATAAGCAAGTAATAATATTATAAAAATATAAAAATATGATACAAACTATAATTGTTATTTTAATACAAAACAGCTGAACGATCT